TGGGTACCGCCCTCCTTCCAAGAGTTTAAAAGGGCAAAGAAATCAAATGCTGCATGATTTAGATGAGGCATATTTATTTAATTTACACAATTTCCTTTTTACTGTAGACATGTTACATAAATGTTAAATGGATATAGAGTCATCTCTGCAGATACGTAGGTTTTGCACCTCCTAAATATATTGCACTCTCCATCCGTGTTTAATGGGAAAAAAATCTGTGTATAATTGTGTCTAACTGCTTGCAGTTCAAACCGGTGGTGCTCAAGGATCGACTGTGTATGTGTTTTTATCTTGTAAGAGGTATTTGCCCCACGTGATTTTTCTTTTTGAGAACAAATGCCCACTCTGTATACACACCAATGTGTGTGTGTGTGTAACTATGTATATGCTGTATTGATAAAGATACTACTGATTCTCAATTTCGGGTTTAATCTTGTTTTTCCCCTTTCCCATGAATCAGTATCTATCCAATGCAGTTATCTATGTAGTATATATGGAAATGATTGGGGGTCTGCATTTGGTGTTGCTTATCTTGGCTTTGAGTTCATGTGTTTTTTTAGTCTCTCTGTCCAGCTTGGTATTTCAGATCTCTTGGCATCCAACCTCAGTGGTCATGGCTGCTCCAGTCTGCCCTTGGATGTAAAGGACACACTTCTTACCACGAGACAGTGGCTTGTTTTTGTTTTCTTGCTGCTAGCTAAGTGGTGATGCCGAGGAGGAAATGTGCCAGTTTAATTTAACCTTTGACAGGAAGCTGTTTGAATGAATCAGATGATATGGGGGTTGTTCGTCTCACTCTCCACAGTATGCACAAGTAAACTTGCTGGGGACTTCTTTTATCTGAAGGGAAACTTAAAAAGCCATATAAATACAATCTAGAAAGACTGTTATTTTATTCCGTATCTGAGCTTCAAGTTTTAGAAATTAGGGGGTGTAGAGTGTCTCCTGACTCTTGCTTTTGTAGTTTAGCCAATAACCAAGACATTATCTGAGGATAATTCTAGTTCTAAGCCATGGCAGCCCGACTAATCTTTTGCCAATAAAATAAAACTATAAAAATAAGGTCACGTAGGAAAACCGTGATACATATTCTATTCCTTCTCCTTCACTCTGCCCTTTGTTAACCCTCATTCATAGGTTATGTTTGTCATTTTATTTTCTCTGATTTGATATTTATTTCCACTGAGGGATGGAGGACAAGCCAACGCCCTGTACTTCAGAATGAAATCTCTTTTCTCTAATTTCAGCTACCACTGGAATGTGGTTCTCACCAAACTACTTACTGGTTGGCTTTTTTCATATGAACTCATTTATTTTATGATGTAACTGGTAGGGCTAATGAGCCAATCTACAAATATTTATTGATATGATTCACAGTTGATGGTTTAGGGGAATTAGTTTGGAAGTGAATACAGTTATTTTGTTGCAATAGATTCGGACGTAATAGATTTAATTTCTTGTTCATACGTTCAGCTGTTCTGTATATGCTAGCTATGTTGCTGCATAACAACTACCCCAAAGCTTAGTGGCTTAAACAATAATTATTTATTATTGTAGCTCATGTGTCTGTTCCTACTCTGGAAGTTAGCTGATTTATATGGAGGTCAGCTGAGTGGTTCTGTTGGTTTTAGCTAGACTTTCTCACATATCTAGACTGTCTCTTGACTGGTCTTGGTTAAGCTCGTCTGGGGGTGCCTCCATTCTGTGTGCCTGCTCCCTTTCTCCTGAGGTCAGTAGATTATCCTGTACATACTACTCATGGTGATGGCAAAACTATGCACACTTAGGTCCAGTCCTGCAAACACAGTTCAGGAGTTAAGAAGCCAACATGCTATTGGCTTATTACATGGCCAAGTCCACAGTGGAAAGCAGCCCACAGTGGGAAGTAGGCCACCCCAGAATTACATGGCAAAGACATGCATGGTGGGAGAGTGAAGACTTGGAGCTGAGAATGCGACTTACATCTATTAAGGTCATTGACTCTTACTTAGCCAGAGGGCTCTAAGTGGCCTCTTGAGCCCCTGGAGCCTCTGTCCAATATTTACCATCCTAAGTCATAAAGTAGAGCAGGCAGAAGCAGGCTGTGTCCATGTGTGTTCATCTGGGGACTATGGTTATCCCGTATTGGAAATCTGGACATGTTATAAAGTTTAAAGAAAAAGAAAAAAAATTATACATATTCTGAATGATTGTCCAGATACATGCTTACTATTTGGCATATTTCCTTTTTATCTTTCTGACACTTTCTTTATTAATATTATATAGATTTATATCTAAGTTTTTCCTTAGTAGTCTATCATCAACCTTTCCTTGGTCCTTAGAAAGGATTTATCAATGTAATATTAATATCTGTGGAGATATCCCATTGGGTGGATGCATCATCCCTAATTTAACCTTTTCCTTGCTCCTCAATGTTTTGGTTATATCCGGGGTTTTGTGATCTTAAATAGTGCCTCAGTAAGCATATTTGTGCATAAATCTTTATCCACATGTTGAGTTGGTTTTTTTAGTAGAAAGAATGCTGGCTGGAGAGAGGAGCCTGGGTTCTGCCACTAGTTGGTAGTAAGACCTAAACCTCCGTGTCATTTTTCTCATCTATAAAACAATGTCTTTGAGGTAGGTGGTCTTAAATTTCTTCCTAACCCTAACACATCCCTCAGAATAGAGGACTGCATTGCTGCACTGGCGAGGAAACATGAAGGCAACCGCAGCTGTGTGTCCTCAGAAAGCTCCGGGGAGGAGAGGCAGCTTCCCGGGCTCCTTACTTGGGAGCATTCAGTTGTCTTCAGAGAGGTTTCCTTTTGCAGTTCCGGTGTCATTGTTTTCCTTGCAGTCTCCCTTCCCTGAGGCAGCAGTAATGTTATTTATTTGTTTTTACAGAGGGCAATGGGTCACGAGCCTTAAGAACATAAACCGTCCTGACCCATTTTATGAGTTTGCACACTTTGAGAATTGGCCTCCTTCTATCGGAAGAACTGGTTTCATTACCCATCTTCATTTTGTCTCATAATGTTATATTCACTTTTCGTATTTATTTTTGCCTTTTGTTTGCCTTGGACATGAAGTTTCATCACAGTTACCTTCACTATTTCCTGGTAGTTGCCTGCAACCTTTTTCTCTGGGACAGGACAGTTCCTTACTGCTCATTTCCATATGGATCGAGGCTGTATTTCATCTGACTGTCTCTCTTCCAGCCTCTGCCAGGAATAAATATTGCTCAATTTCAGCAGGCGTTAAGCATTGACTTCAAAAGGCAGACGCATCAGTGTGTCCCTGCTAAGTAGAGAAAGTGGGATCTGTGCTCTCTCTCTGTCCCCCTCCAACCCTTAGAACTAGAAGACTCTGTCTGCTGGTAGTTGTGTGCAATCTTTTTCTCTGTGACAGGACCCTCCCTTACTGGGTTAGGGTTACAGTTAGGCGGGTCTCTAAGTGGGTCTCTTTTGCAGCAGACAGAGTCTTCTAGTTCTAAGCTCTTTTGGGCATAGGCATTAGAAACTGGTCCAGTCACTTCTCTGGGCTGAGCTGGGGTGCCGTCTGTGTCAAGTACAGAGTGGTCTGCCCCCTCTGGCCAACATCAGAAGGGCTTTGTTCCCTGTTCCTGCTGAGGGCCAGCGTGGTGCCTGCACCCATGAGTGATGGAAATCCCCTGTCACAGCACAGCACTCAGCAGCCCCACTCCAGAAGCAAAACATCTTCCACCAATAGAAGTCTCACCCATCTTCTTTTACCTCAGGAAATAAATTAGGACAGGAATAATTCATCCAGTCAGTTACACATCGGATTTGAGGAGGGGAAATAATTTTCCTTTGTGAATATGAATGTGCTTGGAGGAAGTTGCTTATGAAATACAATTTTAATAATTGTGAACTTTAGTTTTTAGTTTCTGTGTCCACCCTTCCCCTCGTAATTCTGAATGCTTCCCACGTAAGGAAATTGGAGTCAAATTCTTAAGTGTAAAATAATTTTGTAATGTGAATAACTTTGCTTCCTCCAACTATAATGGGTCTCTGAGCAAGTGAATCACATAGTGTGTGGGTTTAAACACTTGCAGAAAGCAATGAGGCTTTATTTTAGCCTCACACTGCTGCAAGGTATGTGTGAGGAATGTGGACTCTGGGAACCGCAGGTGTGTGTTTTCTTGCTCTATGCCTCTTTCCAACCTCCTCTTCTTTCCTTTCCCTCCTCCTTCCTGCTTTTCCAGGTCTGTGCTGAGGTGCTAGCTCTGAAGTTAAGCAACTGGGTCAGAAAGACATGGTACTGTTTAGTTCCCCAGAAGGGCATGTGTTGGGAGATAGAGGCTCTTTCTGTTCCGGCTGGTTGCTTGGTTGTTATCTAGCCCCAGGCCCAGTGATCATCAGGAAGAACCGAGGCAAGACAAGACCCAGACGCACCAAGTCCCATCCTTTTCCCCCCAAGGGATATTTAGTCTATTTTAGCAAAGGGCAGATGGTCCTTACAGATTCCAAAATCTCCCAAAGGGCTAAGCAAAGTCTCTGGAAGTCTAAGTTTAAAACAGATGGCAGCCCCGGGAAAGCAGAAGAGGCTAAAAAACGGAGAAAGCCGATCAACATCATTCTCTCCTGTCCTCTCTGCTAGGCCCTTTGCTGCCAATCATTTGGTTTTTTTCTTTCCTGTTTTTAAATGTGCTCATTTATTTTTGAATCCTAACACATTCACTTGGTTTAAAACCTGGAAATCTAACTCATTGCACATTTAACAGCCTCCCTCATGTCCTGTTCCCCGTGGGTCAGGTGCTTCCTGCCTGCGGGGAAGCCAGGAGACTTTCTTCATATACATTCCTTCCAGCGTCCCTTTAGGCATATCCACCAGTCAGCGCAGGGGTGTAGGTTCTCACTTTCCCGGTCATTTCCTCATCTATATATCTCCTCTCTCACATGCTCACTTGATTTCCTTCAGTTCCACTCTCAGTAATCCTCTGTTGATCTTTGCTATGCCTAAGGCCCTGAACGAGTTCACAGGTGCTTGTCTTTCTCCTGCAGATGAAGCAGACAGTGAGAAATGGTACCTGTCTACAGATTTTCCTTCGACCACCATCAAGACAGAGCCTATTACAGACGAGGCACCCCCAGGACTTGTTCCCTCCGTCACTCTCACCATTACAGCCATCTCTACCCCTTTCGAGAAGGAGGAACCCCCTCTGGAAATGAATACTGGGGTATACTCAATTTTTTTTCTCATATAAACAATTTGGATTAAAAGTTACAGGTCCTCATTCTCTAATAAGGTTGGAGTTAGTGACTGCATTTATTTAAGGACATGTCACTTTATGTGTCTATTTACGCATTTATGTATATATTGAGGGTATGTTGATTTGGTATCAGCTTTAGGAAAACTGGTAACAAAGCTGATTTTTATTTTCTTTGAGTACTATTAAAAATGTAAAACATAAATGAATATTCATGGTAAAAAAAGCTCTCCATGGCACTGAGTTTTAAGCAGTGGAAAGTCAGTGGTTATGATGGTGGTGTGGCAACCCATGGCTTTGGGCATGGCTGTTGAGGATGCTGGTTGCTGTGTGCCCTTTCACTTTACTTTCCTAGTATAATGCTGAGTTGCCCTTACTCAACGCAGGACCCTCCCACCTACTGATTCTTACTCCATTACCGGTGGAAAGTATAAGAAATCAGAAATTTCTTCCTTGCCTGATTTGCACACAGCAAATTTAATTTAATTTTATTCTACCTCCTTTCTGAGTATTTTCAGTGTCTGGAAAAGGACCAGAACCATACTTGTACATCTTCTTACAGAGTGGAAAGCCAGTCTTAACTTTCCTTACACTTAAAGCCTCAGGTTATAAACAATGACTCCATTAACATTCCTTATAGCACAGATTTCCTGTGAGCAAGATAGAGTGCCTGCCTGTTCAGGAAGAAGTAACACAGACTCAGTAGAGCCACAGAAGCGTCCCTGCCTACTCGCTTCTTACTCTGTCTGTATGGAAGATGCAGGGTGGTAGACAGAAGACCCCGGCAGCTGCTCTCAAGGATTCCCAAGGAATCCTTCTTGGACTGGCCTCCTGGAGTCTGTAGTAATTGCCTTAAGATTTTGGTCTGTAAGAATTTTAGTTCAGTTGATTTTTAAGTATGCAATTAACGAAGCTCAAGCTCATGGCCTTGCTCCCTGTGTATTGGTCCGATAACCTGTGTCCTTTCCCTACTGGGTATTTCATGGTTAGGTGTCCTCAGTCATTAGGGAGCCTGGAGAAAAGGATGTGGGTTGATGGTGCACCACTCAACAAACTAGTGTCCGCTGGCGGCCCTGTAACAATTACCAGAATATTTTGTGGTAAAATGCTTTTATGTGACCCCCCCCAAACAATAGAAAGAAGCACCGATAAGTGAGCTTTTCACGTGAGGGTTGTGAGGGTTCCATCCTGTGTAATGCCAGATTTGGTGGTGAGCAGAAGGCTAAGGAGTAAAACAACTTTCTGTCCAAGAGGCTGTCCGTGCTCAGCTGTGCTCTGCAGAGGCAGGGCTGCCCCGAGAAGAGGACACCGATGACACCACTCTCCTGTATGCTTCTTCAGAGCTGTCACTGGTTTTTCAAAATTGTCTTCGGAATTCTTCTTTCAGGTCGATTCCTCGTGCCAGACCATTATTCCTAAGATTAAGCTGGAGCCTCACGAAGTGGATCAGTTTCTGAACTTCTCACCTAAAGAAGGTTGGTCTGTCCTCGGTGCTCCTGTAGCTCCTAGACATAGTCATGAAGTCTGAAGGGAGAGAGAGTATGGGTGAGGATGCTGGGGTCAGTTTGTCCACAGGTATAGCTTGCCTTGGGAAGTAGCTCTGCTCTTGTAAACCTTGCTTCCAAATGCAGTTTTTGAGAGCTAAGTACTATATGTTCCTATGTGCATTTGCTGGAGGTTTAGCTACATGTTGCTGTGCCTTTCTGCTCCTAGCCAGGGTGATTTTTGAAAACCTTTTATGGACTGCTGCAGTGTGGGTGCTGACACACAGGAGAGCTGCGGCCCTCAAGCTTCTCAGTGTGAACACGGGACAGCCTCGCATATAACCGGCAGCCCACAGAGGCACCTTGCTCCCTTAAAACAGCTCCAGTTTCAACCTTTTGTGATGAGAGTTCACAATTTATCTGTCTGGCCAATTCAGTGTTTTTGTTTTTAAATCATGTCTTTTGAATCCTAAAATTCAGTGTTTTTAAATGTTGACTCTGGATGGCAGCAGTGACAAGGAGCCCTCTACCTGTACTGGAATGGCCACAGCCTCCAATCATGCACCTCACTGGGCTTCTTGCCATCCACTTAGAGCTAAATAGTGTCATTCTTGACATTGTCATACTTTCCCTGTTTTCTTTTTCTGTGTTAGTTTAAAAGTAAATAAAAGGCCAACCCAGATTAAATTGAGTAGGATCTACACCAAGACACTATTTCTTTGTGCTGAGTGATAAGCATTCACGCCTTTCACCTCTATATACTGCTGTAAGGTAGTTCCTTTCATCTTTATGCACTGGTTCTCCCTATCAAATGCATCTTGCTCTTTTATGTTACAGTACAGTTCAGAGAGTATTATAATCATAATAATGAATCCCAGAGCGGCTTCAGAATTCAGGGTCACTGGAGGAGAAATGTTTCAAGAATATAGTAAAGGGCAGTCTTTCCTCATTATCCTGGATAAACAGAGATAAGGAAACTCAATATCCTTGAATGCATCAGAGTTTCTAGGCAGAGTAGCTTGTTGTCCCCAGACCTTTCGGTAACCCAAGAGCGGCATTTCAAATGATATTTGGAAATCTGAGACCAAGGCACCTGTGGCCAGATCATCGCTCTCAATAGGCAGGAAAGATGAGAGTCCAGCTTGCCTCACTCGCTTTTCCTGCCATTTCATTTCTGGGTTTTGTGGGCTGCCCTCTGCCTGGAGAGGAGAACAGTGTTAGAATGATTTGGTTTGTGCCAAGTAGAAGGGACGGGGGAGCTCTAAAGTGCTCTCGGCTAATTTTCGGGAATCTAACAGTACAGAGTGGCAGGAAATTGGAGCCCCTAACAGGTTCGCTTCCTGGGGGTGTGTGTTACCATAAAGTGCTGTAGTATTTACGGAATTAGAAAAACCACAATTAGCACTCTTAGCACCCTGACCTTCCAGCCAATCTTGTACATACTGGCTGGAACAACAGAAATACCCGCTGTTGAATCCAAACTGGATTCTGGCTTCAGAAGCCCCTCTGCTGCCCAGAGGTGTCTGATGGACGCCGGCCGGCTTAGGCTCTGTAGGCCCTGGCAGAGGGACTGTGATGTGCCTCCCAGAGGAAAGGCAAAGGGTGGGGTTCTTACATGCTGGGGGACGTTGGAGGAGAAAGCCCCTCCCCACCACCCCCATATTCCCTGTGCCTACTCATCTCTCTAGAGATGGATGTAGAGTTTTTTGAATGAAGAATGCTTGGCGCCTTGCCTGCTGGCCCCACCATGCACATTCCTCCAGAAACAAACGAGCTTTTCTCAAAGCAGCCTTTGGGAACCCTCATGGGCTCCCAGATATTGCTATCTTTTAAAAGACTTTTTTAATTTAAAGTGCATAATTCATTAACATGGTTTACAAATGAAACTGTATCTGGAAGGAACACAGTGAAGTCTTATCAACACCCGGTCTCAGGCTCCCCTGATCGCTCCCTGCCTGCCTCGGGTCAGAGTATTACTGGTTTCCTGTATACACTTCTTTATGCCAATGTAAGCAAACGTGGGTCTGTATGCCCTTTCTTTTTTTATACAAAAGGGGGCTACTGTATACACTGCTCCTGACCTCTCTCCCCTCTTCTGCACTTCATAATCCTTCTTGGAGATCTTGCCTCAGTGCATGGGGGCTCCTCATTCGTTTGTTGGGCTATCCTGAGTTCCGCCACGTGGATGATGCACAGAGTTTGTGTCACCAGCCCCAAGTCCTTCCTTGTCAAGGCTCTTGGATGAATGACATGTGCTTTCTTTTCTTTAGCCCCCGGGGACCACCTGCACTTACCGCCCACCCCGCCCAGCAGTCACGGCAGTGACTCAGAGGGCAGCCTGAGCCCCAACCCACGCCTGCACCCATTCGGCCTGCCTCAGACTCACAGCCCAGCCAGAGCCACGCCCCGGGCCCCCTCCGCTCTCTCCAGCTCCCCCCTCCTCACAGCTCCTCACGTAAGTATGGCTGGGACCTTCTAGACCGTCTCTGTCTGTCCCGTGGGGCATCCAGGGCAGGCCAATCAAGGCCATTTGCTTTTTCCTCTTGTCTAGAAGTTTCTGTCTTGCAGTTAAAGCAGGGTGATGACAACCTTAGGGAACATTTTTAAGAACTTCCCATAAATCTCATCTTGCTGCCACAATTCTCTTCGTTTTCATGTGTATGCTTCCAGTTTTCACTCACATGTTTATTTTACAGAGCTATAAGCATAAAGAATAAAAATTTTGGTTTGCTCTCTTCAAAATTATACTATAAATATTTACAATCATGTTGGTAGTCCTTACGGCCTGTCATAGAAAAATACCTTTTATATTTTAGATGAGCAGTCTTTGGTGAACTTAAAAATCACTCTGAGATTAAATTCTTTAATGCCTAAAGCTGTCTGTGTTAAGTATAACTGGTAACCCAGGAACTCAGATCAGAAATCATGACACGTGGTTCATCTCCTACTTACATAAGGACACTATTTTCCAAGTTTAAAAAAAAAAAATAGAATAGATCATTAACTTTTTATTGTTCTAAAAAGTGAATTGATTTCTATGAAGTCGTAAATATTACAGTTAACTTTTTTGAATTTATGATGTCATGACTGGCAAATTTAAAAGATATGAGATATTTATTAATAAGTATTCTGTAAGCATCATTCATCCATGAACGTAACTGAAAACTTGAATTGTGTCCCAGAAAATCCTTGATCTATAGCCACATTCTCATGTCACTGTTACTGAGGATAAGGGAGATAACCCTTTCCATTCTGTCTTCTCTGCTTGGACCTAACTTTTCACTCCTCGTGTTACTAGAACAGCTTTCATCCTGTATGTCTGAATCCTACCATGATTAATCTGTTCTATATGCTTATGAAGGAAGCTTCCCCGGGCCACACTCTCTTGCCCAACAACTGGGTGTGTTTCCCTATTACTGCTGGCACCAAACCCTAATGCTCATTATCATGTGCCCAGCACTCTGTGACTTCAAGAACTACTCTAGGCAGAATGGCATCTTCGGTTACTGTTCACAGTCCTGCCTTTTGCTGGGAATGCCCTTCTCTCTCTTAGGTAAGCAATCTCCCTTCCTTGCAGGAGGCCCAATTCAACTCTTCTCTCCTACTCTAACCCTTCCCTGATCATACAAACTCAAGTAAATGTCTTTCTCCAAATTTATAATGCATCTTCAATTAGTATTACAGTTTAGCGTTTAATTACTCTCATCTTTGTATGGGTGTCAATTCAGTCTTCATCACGAGCTACTTAAGAGATGGGGTTTGTGTGGAGTCCCCCAGGGTAATTAGCATGGAGCTAATGTGCGGTAGGGACTCTGTTCGTTTGACTAATTAGAAACACATTACTCCATTGTAGGTTCAATGAGATGAGGTACAGTGTTCCATCTTCATGGCGGAGGCCCAATCTGGGACTACTGTCGCCGGAGGCTTCCCTAGAGAGAGTGGGCAGGTGCACCCCTGAGAGCTCTGTGGCCCCTTAGCTGTAAGTGGAGATGGGAGGATGCCTCCTGCTGGGTGGAGAGCACCTCATCAAATTGCAGTTTCACAAGGAGAACAACAAAGCTCTGCCACAAAACAGAGGTGCATGTGAATCCTTCTTCACCCCAAGGCCAGGCAACCTCCAGGGATGTGGGAAACGAATTCTCCACTTTGACTTTTCACCTTTTAGCGAATGAGCTTCTTTATCCTTCCCTCCGAATCACAATCCTTGGGTTATAACACTCACGTGGGAGTGTCTACTCCACCTTTGCTTTCACTTCGAAATACTGGTTCCTCCCCCAATGCAGAGGACACCTCGTTTTCTCTGAGCCACCTATGAGACGTTCGAACGGATTCTGATCCCGTGTTGGCAGATGACTCTTCAGCGCGCCCACTTCTTTTTGACCCCTTTCTGCTGCTCCTTTGTCTATACAGAAACTGCAGGGATCAGGCCCACTGGTCCTGACCGAGGAGGAGAAGAGGACTCTGATAGCTGAGGGTTATCCCATCCCTACCAAATTGCCCCTAACAAAATCAGAGGAGAAAGCCCTGAAGAAAATCCGGAGGAAAATCAAAAATAAGGTGAGCCTTTCAAGTCTAGGCATTCTTGTGAGCAGAGCCAGGAGGATGGAGTCAGTGGATTGAGCACACCATCCTTTCCCGTTCCCTTCCCGTCCCAGGGTGCAGATGAAGGCTCAGCTGTCTGTAGGGGAATGGCATGCTCACACTTGCCCCTGCCTTCTTCTGGCCCCTTCGTCCACCTGGTCCACCTGGAGGCCAACAGATGCCCAGTGCAGTGTGCCTCCCTACGATGACACATTCAGGGCTGGGAGGAAGACATTAGAACTTTCCTCTAAATGTGCTTGTTTAATCTCAGCCTTTTAGATTTCAGCTTTATGATGTACATAATAGTTTGCTCTAAAAGATGTATATATAATTTATCATTAAATAAACGCAAATACATTGGAAGTGCTTGTTTGATTTTTTTTCTTTTTTGACTCCTCTTTTATTTTTTAACTTTTTTAGAATTTTTAAAAATTTCAATAGATTTAGGGATTGGTTTTTTTTGTTGATAGGGTTTGTGATAAAATGATTAAAATATTTTTAATTTTTTTAGAATTTTTAAAATTTTCAATAGATTTCGGGATTGGTTTTTGATACATAGATGAATTGTATAGTGGCTTTATAGTGTGCCCAGTGTTTGAATAGTGTACCCAGTGCTTGAATAGTGTACAGTGTACTCAGCAGGTAACTTTTGGTCCCTCATCCCCCTCCCACCCTCTCCTTTTCTGAGTCTCCAAAGTCCATAATACCACTCTGTATGACCATGTATACTCATAGTTTAGCTCTTGCTTATAAGAGCTAAATGGTACATATGGTATTTCTTATTCCATTCCCGAGACACTTTGCTTAGGATAACGTCCTCCAGTCATCCAAGTTGCTACAGGAAACATTATTGCATTCTATTTTATGGCTGAGTAGTACTCCAGGATAAAGGCAGGGTTCCATGAAGTTCATGTGCAATTTAAAATAGGTTCACATTGTAAATTGCACAGACTTTATGAACACCCAGTATACGTGCATATGCCACATTTTCTTTATCCACTCATTAGTTGGTGGGCACTTAGGTTGATTTCACATCTTTGATATTGTGAATCGTGCTGTAATATCATGCAGGCTCAGGTATCTTTTTGATGAGTTCTTTTCCTTTGGGTAGATCCCCAGGAGTGGGACTGAATGGTAGGTCTACTTTTTAGTTCTTTGAGAAATCCCCATTGAAGTTGTACTAATTTGAATTCCCACCAATGGTGTGTAAGTGTTCTGGTTTCTTTGCCTCTACACGAACATCTATTGTTTTTTGACTTTTTAATAATGACCATTCTGACAGGGGTAAAGTAGTATGTCATTGTGGTTTTAATTGTATTTCCCTGACGTGTTGAGCATTTTTTCATATTTGTCTGTCTTCTTTTGAAAAATGACGGTTCATGTCCTTGCCTGCTTTTTAGTAGGATTATTGTTTTTTTCTTGCTGACATCTTTTCTTGTTGATAGGGGTTTGTGATAAAAAAGAATTCTGCCATGCCCTGGTCTGTATCTGGCCTCGGCAAGCTGATTGTAGCCCACTCAGTGCTGAGCAGGATGGCTGAGGCCCAGGGGGGTGGCGTAGGCATAAGCAGACCAGGAGGGAGGGGGCAAAGGAAGGCGAGTGGTTAGTATCGCTCTTCACCCATGGGCAGAATCAGCAGTGAGTTGCTACATGACCAAGCCCAACTGTCTTATTTTACATACATAGTTGAGCAAAGGGAGGTCCAGAGAATTAAACTCCTTTATCTGAGACAATACCAATGATCTGTGACCCACATGCTCTGGACTGGCCTGTGGTCCAGTGTCTTTCCATTAGGGGCCTAGCTTGTGGAAAGTAGGTGAAAGCACAGGCTGGTGGAAACCAGAGAGGATAGAAGAGGTGATTAGTAGATGAGCTGGCAGCTTAAACAAATGGCAAGCGGCCCCAAAGTGAGCAGGACTTTGGTGATTTCTGCACTAATGCCCACCTGTCTCCCAGTTGCATATAACCAATAAACACTTATAGAGCTGGAAATCAATCATTCTCTATCCCTTTTTACCTCTCAGATTTCTGCCCAGGAAAGTAGGAGAAAGAAGAAAGAATACATGGACAGCTTGGAGAAAAAGTAAGCCTGCTGACAAACTGTTGTGTTTTTCGGGCAGTGTGCACAGAGAAAAGTGAGTGCGCTAAGAGCTGGTGAGAAGCAGGTGAATTCCTCTTTCTGGCCAGCTTAGAAGCCTGCCGCTGTATCAAATTTTGCCTGCCACCTAGTGGTTATTTGCAGGGGACATTAATAAGCACAGCATGAAGTGAAAAAATACTCTGTCTTATTAGGCATTTGAACCACACTGTTTCCAGCCAAGGATCCCTTGGAGGCTTCTTTTCAGACTAGTACAAATATTAACATTCTGGCACATTCCTGGAACTTCTCAGAGGAGAAGCACTGTTTTGGCAGAAAGGGGCAGTGCTACTTAACCAGTTCCCGCTGGCCATGCTCCCTCGCACCCTAGGAGAGCACACTGGAACTACATACGTCAGGTTGACTATAATTCATGCAAAACTACTGAAAGCATTCCTTGTTTGTGTGAAAAGCCTAGAATATGGGAGGGCTGTTAGAAAAATATGAATTAAAGGCAATTTTAGATTAGCACTGGAATATAACTCCCAAGTTCACAAACTAGTATCATCTTAAGAAGGGTATGAGGCCTCAGACCCAGAAATGAACCTTCATGTGTATCTAGGGTAAGGAGTGGGTCAGTGGATCCTGGCTGGTTCTAGATGTTTCTGCTGAAAGTTTAGTATTTCTGTCTATAACCTGATCTAAGTACTGCTAATTTAGCTTTTCAGTTGGCTCTTCATATCCAGAAGTTCCACAAGCCCAATATAACCAATCATGAATTGAAAATATTCAGAAAAAAATGCAACAATAAAAATAATATAAGTAAAAAATATGGTATAATAACTATGTAGAATTTATTAATACATTGTATTAGGTATCATAAGAAATCTAGAGATGATTTAAACATTTTAGGAGAATGTGTATAGGTCCTCCTATACCATTTATGGATTTTGGTATCCATGGGGCGATGGTACCACCCCCCACCCCACCCCCCCAGACACCACTGGACTACTGTAGACCCATTCTGTTCCATCGGTTTCTTTAGGCACTTAGGGCCAAGATAATTCTATGAGAATCTCTTTACTGCCTCTCGGGCATGCATGCTCCAGCATTGGGGTTCCTCGTCCTAAGTTCTTGTCCTCCTTGGCTTCTCATTGGACCTTCTGGCCAGGAGGGTGTCCAGTAGCATCCAGATCACTGTCCTGTAGAAGGAAAGAAGTACAATGTGGGCTGAGAGCATGAGGGAAGAGATGAAAGAAAACAAGGTGGTAACACCCTCGAAGAGGCATTTCTATGTCATCCCATCTTTCAGTACTGAGACACTTGTTACTCTCTTCCCCTGATTTTTGTATTTTTCTTTAGTTTCTTCATCTTTCTTCACAACTCTAGCAAGCCAGGCTCTTTCCCACACTTCCCTGGAGTAGCTGTCCCCATCCCCCCTTCTTTCCCTGATCACTGTTAACTCCACCCAAGCTCCTGGCTTTTCATTTGCTTCACTGGGAATGACTAATTTTATTCTTTCTCTCTTCTTCGTAGAGTCGAGTCTTGCTCTACTGAGAACTCGGAGCTTCGGAAGAAGGTCGAGGTTCTGGAGAACACCAATAGGTGGGTGTCACGGAGTGTGAGTTGACTGAGCTGCCTAATGGAGGTGAGGAAAGAGGGCATAGAATCGTGGACGGAGTTGGGAGGAAAGTGGAGGAGAGCACATTGGAAGTGTAGGTGTTCCAGGATGCTCAGGACTCCTGGCCTCCAGCCACATGTTCCTGCTACACACACACACATCACACACACTTGCATACATACCCTCTCACATAGACATTACACACATATCCATATGCACACGTGGGCTCACTCATGCATGCTGTCTGCTTCCCTGATGATACAGGACTGGTGACGAGGTTGATCGTTACAAGGACTACTACAAGGGGGTTAAAAAAGAGGTTTCAGGGAGAATAAGTCCGATAAGTCTGATTTTCTGAAAGTGACTTTAGAGGTGGACAAGGAGAGCCTGGCTACTTCATGGTCACCCAATTTTAGTAGCATATGACTTCTATTAGTATAGTTTAAAAAAGAATATCAGTTTGTTTTTAAAAGTAGCTTTTAAAATTGATTAACTACATTTCAACTCTTTCCCACCATCATTTTGACAAAAATAACTATGGGATCTGAGTTAACGGAGTCCTGCAGCACAGGGGTGTCCAACCTGTGGCCCACCTGGGATTTTGTGAGGACTTTTTTGCATATCTGTGGTGTTAGATATCATGAAAAGTATGCAGAGACTTTTGTTTTTTTTTGGGGGGGGTGCTAATCAGCTTTTGTTAGTGTTTGTATGTTTGCTGTGTAGCCCGAGACAACTCTTGTTCTTCTCACATGTGGCAGAAAGGAAAAACTGTTAGACACCCCTGTCCAGCACTTATGGTGCAAAGCTCTGCTTTAAGTACTTTACAGCCATTAGCTCATTTAGCTCTATGAGGTGGTAATATTATTGTCCCCTTATATAGGGGAGGTAGTTAAGACTGAGAAATGTTGGCTGATTTGCCCAACGTCACACAGAACATACTAAAGCTGCACGTGACCCCAGGCAGTCTGGCTCTGGAGCCTTCACATGGTAGGAGTTGTATGCAGGAGGGGGTGAAGGTAACGGGTTAGGACCATTGGCAAGTTTCATCCAAAATGAAATGTGTTTGTTTGCCTACATGCTGTGTTCCCCAGTGGGAAGTCATGCCTTAGTCAGGGAATCCTGTCACCCTTAGTATTATAGATCCAATAAATCCAGAAGAGGAAAATGGACCTAGTGGGTAAGCCAAGTATTAATTAATCATTTAATGGTCAGCATTAATGCCTAATAACAATTGCACGAGTGTTAAAGGATCAGATTAAATCTCTGTGCATGTCATTTGACAATAACAATGAATTTGCCTCCCTCTTCCTGATCTTCATGGTTTGTGCTCACACAGCAGGCTAATAGGCTCGTGAGTTATTTCACTGAATTTCTGGGAACATGTGCTCCAGCAGCTGGTCAAGGGCAGTTCACCTCAAGTGCTCTGTAAGACAGACGGCCCACAGGGAGGAAACGTCACCCGCTCAGTGTGGCATTACCTTAATCTCTCGAGGCAAAGGGGCTGGTTTCAGATACCACCTTAGGGTCTGGTTTCACTGCCCGCCTTTGCCCACTAATCTCCTGAGACCCCTCTCTTTTCATCTCCACCTTTACCAGGTCAGAGGGGATTTCTTGAGATGGTTCTGGTTCTCTGAATCCTGCCTCCTCAGCCACAGTCTGTATCCAGCCCTTGGCACTTGCTTTCAAGGAAGCCCCATGTTTATGGGGCAGGTCCTCACCATAAGTTGGTCAAGAGGGGAAGAGGAATCTGTCAAAGATGATTGTGGCCTTTGGGGTCTTGGTTTGGTCTAAAGGGGTCGAATGTCAGGCCTGCCCTTGGCCACCTGGGGGCAGCAGAGGCCCAGCAGGGCTGTGCAGGGGTGGCCTTGCGAGCAAGGTCACTTGCCTTGGGTGGGGCCTCTCCTCCCCTCTCCAGGGCTCCTGTGCTGTTAGTTTCTCTCTCGCTCTCTCTCTCTCTCTCTCTCTCTCTCTCTCTCTCACACACACACACACACACACACACACACACACACACACGCACATTTATTTCTGCTTGTTCGTGAGAATCAGATATCCAGATAAGGTCCATATGTTCCAGTGGTTGATGTGTCCCTTAGGTATCTTTTTACCCATAGATTCACTTTCATTTCTTTGCTTGTTACTTAGTAAAGCACCGAATCAGTTGTCCGAGGGAGTCTTCCGAGGTCTCAGTTTGCTTCTAACATTCTGTGGTGCCATTTAGCCACTCCCTTATCTACTGTGGACTACCTTGTGTGTTTTGTGTTTGTTTTTTGATAAGAATTCTTGATAGGTTCTGCTGCATTCTTCCACCAGGAGTAGTTTAAAAACTGATTATCTGGTTATCAGCAATTTACGGTCTCCCTGAGATGGATCCATGCATTATGAGCTTGGAAATAGCTTTATCACATTCAATCATGTCTCCTTCGATTATTAGCAGAATATTTTTCTAAAGTAAAGCTCTTCATGATTAATGAACAGAGGGGCATAGGTATCTCTACGAGGTGCTGATTTCATTGCCTTTGGGGATATACCCAGCAGAGGGATTGCTGGGTCATATGGTAGTTCTATTTTTAATTTTTTGAGGAACTTCCACACTGTTTTCGGTAATGGTTCTATCAATTTACTACCAACAGTGTAAAAGGGTTACCTTTTCTCCAGACCCTCACTAACGCTTATTATAGTTTATCTTTTTGATAATAATCATCATAATAGGTGCAAGGTGATATCTCATTGTGGTTTTAATTTGCATTTCTTCAGTGATTAGTATTTGAGAACCTTTTCATATACCCCTTGGCCATTTTCATGTCTTCTTTGGAAAAATGTCTATTAAGATTTTTTTTACTGTTTTAAAATTGGATTAGTTGTTCTTTTACTATGGGATTATATGAGTTCCTTTTCTTGAGTATTTTGGATATGCATCCCTTACGATTTATATGGTTTGCAAATAATTTTCTCCTGCTTATTTTGCTGTTTCCTTGGATTTGCAGGAGCTTTGTAATTTGATGTAGTCCTTTGTGTTTATCGGTTTTTAAACATAAAAGAAGACGCATACACAATATGGGCTCATTGATGAAAAATGTACAAAATACAGGTAGAAAAGAAAATGTATATAATCCTTTCATCCAGAGGTACCTTTACATTTTGGGATATTTTATAGTGCATACTCCTTTGTTAAGAAATATTTTCATTTTAAGAGAATACTCTGGACGTATTTTCATGTCAGCAAATATATAATCTTTGAATTGTCCATTTTTAAAAAATCTCCTTTGTGTTATCTGACCCTTCCCTAATGGGTTTCTGTGGCCAGGGCTATCACAGGCCACCTATTAAGGAAGGGGCAGGTTTTTGTTTATTTTGTTTTGTTGTCAGCTTTATTGAGGAATAATTGATGAAAAACATGCATATATTTTTACAGTGTGAATGGGACGATTTACTGTATGCACACCCGGTGAAATGATTACCTTAATCAAGTTCATTAACGCGTCTATACCGCACATAGCCACCCTCCCTCCTTCCTTCCCGCCCTCCCCCTTTCCTTCTTTTCTTTCTTGTGCCCCTGTGTATGATCTACTCTTACCACATTTTGAGTAGGTAATACAGAATTATTAACTGGGGTCACCATGTTGCACACTGGATCCTTGGAATGCATTCCTCTTATAACTGAAAGTTTGCGCCCTTTAACCCGCGTCCCCCCATTGCCCCCTCCCCAGCCCTGGCAACCACCCTTCTACCCTCTAGCTTCTAAGAGTTTGACTTTTCTTTTTAACTCCACATACAGTGATACCATCTAGTATTTGTCTTTCCCTGTCTGGCTTATTTCACTCACAAAACAGGGCAGATCCCTGGCTGTTTTCCCTCCTGCCAGCTCCTTCCCCCCGCTCTGTTCCTTCTGCCCCTTGACTGTTGGGCACCTCCACTCTTCCCCCCAGTGGCCCAATGTGTGTTCCCCTTCCATTTCTTCTCTCTCTTCGAATCTCACCTCTCCTGGTACGGTGGTGATGGCTAACAATGGATTCGTCAGATTATCGTCTCACAGATAATTTTATCAGGGAGCTCCTAAGGTTATCATGTTTGAGACCAGAGACTTTTCACGTATTTTGGCTTGAGAGGCAAATACATAAGAGCAGAGCTTCTCCTGCCGAATCAGGAGGTAAACCTGTAGTTTCTCCAACTCCTCTGCCCCTTTCTCCTTCTGCTTCCTGCCAAGGGCCTCCCCTTGCTGAGACGACACCACACTAACCAAAGCGACTGTAATGTAAACACTGACAGTGCCCTGCCCTAAGCCAGCCGCAGGGAGCTGGTGTCTGGGGCACACAGTCAAGGGAGAATTTGGACCCTTTGCTCACATCATGCCGTGGGTGTGAAACTCAGTGTTTGAGCTACGTGCAGGGCTGGGCTGGACAAACACACAGCTGTGTTTGTGTTCCTGTTGATGCCTCCCGTCTTATTATCCTTTGGAGGCAGCTGGACGGAGGAAGCAGAAATGACTCTGATAAGCAAACAGGCTCCGAGGTCACCAGAAGTGGGGTGGGAGCCTTGCGGAACATTGTTTCATATGGCATGGCATGGCAGGGAAGGTGAGGGGGTGTTTCATCATCGACCAAATTAAGGAAAAACGAGGTCTATCTAGAGGTGAATTTGTGCTTGGATTGTGAGTCAATTTTGAATCTTTTCGTTTGTACAAGACTCAGCAGCAACAACCAAGAATATTATTAGTTTCTAGGTGAAACCTAGATAAACCTTTTATCTGAGCTGAGCCTCTTAGAGCAGAGCCAAGATGGTGTGAAAACACCTTCACACTTCTTGCTAAGCTGATCCACTAATTGCACGCCATCAAGAAATGTGTAAGACGGAGCGAGATGGTTTCCCAGGGGGCCCTTCTTCTTATGCTCAGCAAATACATTTGCACTGATGAGGGTCCAGGCCCTGAGGGACCACTGGGAGGTCCTCCTGGCTTAGTTCCTAAGTTTATCATTCATCTCTG